TGGAACAAGAGAGGCATGTTTGAGGAAGTTAAACTTAAAAAGCGACTTCCCCATTTGGATAGCGTCTAAAGTATCTGCATAAACAGGCATATATGCCATTGGGAGATGGGAAGGATATGAGTTACTACACCTTTCACATATAGCAGTCAGTAGAGTTGGAAATGCTTACATTCAAGAGTTAATGCCTTTTATCAAAATAGAAACTTTCCTATTTTGTCAAGCAGTTATTATGAGCCACCCTTATTTTTATATTTTTCAGTCAATGTTTGGGGTGTTAACATAATTGCCTAATATAAAACAAAAGAACATAATTTTGGTAATACCCAAATACAGTATAATTATATATATTAAGTTTTGATAATATTTCTATTTATTTATTTTATACATGTTTCCCAGGATAGTCCACTGGTCTTACAGTCTGACAGGAATGTAACAGTGAATGCAAGAAATCACATGGGGCAGTTAACTGGACAGCTGACAGTAGGTAAGTGTTTGTGGGTAAAGGTTGTTCAAATCTTACCTTCATGTAAATCTCTGTGGATGTTTAAACTGGGAAAAGTAAAAGTGTGTCACCTCTCTAATTTATATAACTAGACATCCTATTACAGCCAATTATCTTGCTCATAATTTGATCTGTAGTAAGACAGGTCATGGTTCCATTTGGTGGTTATTACTCTTGTCAATGTGTTATCAGGAGCCCAAGTGGCATTTATTTTGCTGTTCATTACTCTTGAATTATGAAATCCACCGTCTACCTAATGAATGTTTCCACAGTGTATATTGAATTATACTAACTAGACTTAAACAAACATGTGGAATGACATAACATTATGAGGTCTATGTATCTGCTGTTTTAGGGTATTGGTTTTCTAGTAATATTTATAGTATTTATTTACCTGTATGAACTAATATAGACAAAAATTTGAGTATAATTAATAACAGGTATCAATTAATTATCAATTTGCTGTTGAAATGATCTATATTTTAAGGTTTATAGGTTTCAGAAGTTATAGATATAAACTATTGGAAACCCTAGTGGCATACTGGTTACGTGCTACAGCTGCTAACCAAACGGTTAACAGTTCAAATCGATACGAGTAGGAATCCACTGGACGGCAACGGGTTTTATGGTTTTAAACTTTGTTACCATGCTCTCACCTTTCTTCAAAGAGTTTCACCACAGCTTTGTGCAACGTAATGCTTCTTTAGATATAGAGTTGTTGAAAATAGTTCACACTGGATAATCCACTTTCCTTTCGATTCAGTGTGCGTGGTTTCAGAAGATGTGATTTCCCACCAGAATCTCCTACATGTTCTCCAAAAACATCATTAGATCATGTCATTGGTCATATTTCCCTTTACATTGGCTACCAGAAAATCAAAGTAGAATGTGTAGACAAGTAATATATGAAAGCTGTTGCTATTAGTTAGATGATGGTGATTGTAATTAGTGGATTACGTACATTAAATGTAGATGGCTACTGTGTGAGTAGTTCATAAGGAATTTCTATCCAGGTATCTCTGGGATAGCAGTTAGAGTATGTATGTTGGATTATTTTTGCAAAGGTGTGGTACAAAACACATCACTGAGAGTGTATCAGATGTGTGTAAAAATTGTTGCAATTATGCCATGATAAAATTACCTTTGGGCAGAATTTGAAGAGATGTAGGGGAATTCCAAAATGTAGACAAATAGCCTTCATTCTTAAAGACTCTAATTTTAATTGTATTGGCATAAAATAATGTTTTAAACTTCTTTTTTCTTTTTTTGTCCTTGATTAAAGGCATAGTCATGATTATAGTATAGGAATGATACTAGTTGTAATATTTTTTAAATGTACTACCAGAAAATGGACCAATATTTATGAAAAATACATTGTTATTCTTCATTTTCTAAGCAATGTAATTCTAATTTCTACTCCCAAATCTATCAATTGCTGTTAGAAACCTATGATCAATTTTACCAATGTGACAGACTGAATTTTTCCCTGATATTCAGAGGAGTATAACAGGAAAGTAAAATCTCCCCTATGGATAGTTATTTGTATGATTTTTCTGAACAAGGCTTCAACAAAGCAAATATCTATCCCCCTTGTACCCTGCCCTTCTCTTTTTTTATAAGACTAATTTCCTAGAAATTTAATTTATGGGGATATGTGTAATTTAGAGACTAGGCAGACCCAGCCAGTTGATTCTAAATCCAGATTAATTCTGGGAATCTGAAACCATATTATTTCTAATTCAAGAATGCAAAGAAAGTATTTTATACATACGCCAACTCAAGCACGATCAAAACTAAATCTAAATATTTTTAGACTTTGGGTAAAAAAATTAAATCAGATAAATATTGTATACTTACAGAGTTTCAGACTTCATATTAAATTTAATCACATCTTATCCAAATTCACCCATGAAATCCAAGACTCTAATTTTTCCTGACCTTCATATCATTGGAAGAGATTAACGTACTCAAGATTTCTTCCTCCGAAGTTCTCTTCTTAGAATACAGCTGAAAGAGAAGAATGAAATTGTAGTTGGGAAGTTGTTAAAGAAAGTACAAGATTCCAAGAGGTCAAACTCTGAAGAAAAAGCAAGAACTTTTCTAAACAAGTCTCAAAATCATTCTCTAGGTCAAAACGACTGTTCTTGATCTGTAAATGCTCTGTTTGTTAGCAGAGAATATCTTTATATGTACATATATATATATATATATATAACAACAACAACAAAAACAAACCATTGAGGTCCAGTCAATTCCTACTCATAGCAACCTTACAGGACAGACTAGAACTGCCCCATAGGGTTTCCAAGTCGAACAGTCACATCTTTCTCCCTCGGAGTCACTGGTGGGTGAACAGGTGATCTTTCAGTTAGCAGCCGAGTGCTTTACCACTGCACCGCCAGGGCTCCCCTTTTTTTATATAGGTGACAAAAATAATTTTACTTTATTTATTGATATGTGATGGTGGCGTGTTGTATTATTAATGATAAAATTTACATCAAATAAAATGGATAAAATATATAAATTATGCACCATCTTCATGAAGCTTTTCTTATTCTCTTAGGAGACTGTTAAAATGTGACATACAGAATGAAAATTATTTCTTCAGGGCAGTGCAAAGGAGATATCATGATGAAGTTTTGATATAGACTTTTTGTTCATAACACTAATCTTGGTATTAATGCTATGTTGATTCTCTAAAAAATAATGATCTTCCCCATATTATCATAAAAATTGTTAGATGTTACTTATCAATAATATGGCATTGATCTTTAATAGAATAGATTTAAAGTACCCTGGTGGCTCGGTGGTTAAGATCTTGGCTGCTAACTAGTTGGCAGTTCAAATCCACCAGCTGCTCCTTGGAAACCCTATGGGGCAGCTCTACTCTGTCCTATAGGGCTGCTATGAGTCAGAATCAACTCAATGGCAATGGATTTGGTTTGGGTTTATAAGGAGTTTGACATTTATAATTGTTGATTTCTATGAAATTTTCCTTTAACAGCACTTAGGCAACTTGGTTAAGGAATTAAGTTATATATTGCTTTTTCTTCTTAAGCTGTAAAATATATTTTACTTCAAGCATTGACTAAAAATTAACAGTATTTTTTTTTCTTTCTTCTGCCTCTGTCATCAGTCTAAAGCTAAACAAAAACCAAACCCCCTGCCATCGAGTCAATTCCAACTCAAAGCAACCCCATAGGACAGAGTAGAACTGCTCCATACAGTTTCTGAGGAGCAGCTAGTGGATTCAAATTGCTGACCTTTTAGTTAGCAGCTGTAGCTCTTAACCACCACGCCACCAGCATTTCCAGTCTAAAGCTAGAGGGTAAAAATAGAAGGATAAACTGAAAAGGTAAACAAAGAATAATCCTAAAAGGTAGAGATAGGTTTCTTTTTGTTTGTTTAAGATAGGCTTCTCATTTAAATTTCAGTCAAAAAACAATGACTTCTGAGTAAGTATCAGAGCATGGTATGTGGTCCTCTGTCTTAACATGACAGGAAGTTCCACTATGCCACATCTATGTCATTATGCCAGTAAAACGTCAAGGCTAATCGGGTGTTAAAAAATTGGAGTGTCATCACTCTGAATTTTTAACTTTTAAAGTGAGTGTGCTTAATAAGACCAAAATCTTTTGCTTCAAATGGGATCTCATATGTCATCATAATCCTTCTTGTTTAATGCTCAATACATTTGGGAGACTGAATTACTGACTGAATTAACCCTTAGGAACTGCTAGATGTTATTGTCAGAATCATTTTCTCATTTTTGATATTCTCATTTCCATCTATCAAAAATCAGTGACATATCCAAATTATATAAAAACCTTAATTACAACCCATAACGCCTCATGCTTTCTGTCTTGCTTCAGCAATTCCTCAACGTCTGTAGTCATGACTCTATGGTAATAAGAAAGAATATAATTTAGAAGCAATTAAAACAAAGTGATATTTTAGTACTAGTTTTCTCTTGATGGTTCACATTTTGAGGATTAAACAATACAGTCCAATGAAAACAGTTCCGATGCTTCTGCAGCCAGAGCTGACTCTGGTTTCTTCTGAGGTCTGAGATCCTTGCCTTCATTCCCAGGGGGATTTATGAGCAAGCCAAAGGCAAGGACTGGGGAAGTGAGAGGCAGATGTGCCAGAGAAAGGGGTCTGTGTGGTTGCTTGACCCTTTCAGGGCTGTCTGTCAGTTCCAAGCCTAAAAATTAAATATATTACAAGAGAAAACTTACTGATAAGAAAAATCTGAAAAATTAAGCTTTAGGATTCTTTGGGAGTCCCTGGGTGGGGTACACAGTTAAGTGCTGGACTGCTAGCCAAAAGGCTGGCAGTTCGAGCTCACGCAGACATGCCTTGGAAGACAGGCCTGGTTATCTGTTTCCAAAAGGTCTTGAAAACCCCATGGAGCAGTTCTACTGTGCCCCGTGCGGTTGCCATCAGTCTGAATCAATTCAATAGTAGCTAACAGCAACAAAAACAACCAGGATCTTGAGGAAAATATTTTTATTTGTTTTCTTTAGTTAAAATGCACTAATAACATGATCCACTTGAGGAAATACTTATTTTTTAAATACAGTGATTATATAAGGAGATAAACAAATAAAAATGTTTCTATTAGGATATATTTTTATTCACATGAAAGCTGTTTGTATCCCATAGAGTGAGTGACCAAGTCGATTACACATTCTACTTTGATTTTCTGGTAGCAAAAGTAAAGGGAAATATGACCAATGACATGATCCAATGATGTTTTTGGAGAACATATAGGAGATTCTGGTGGAAAATCACATCTACTGAAACCACGCACACCGAATAGAAAGGAAAGTGGACTATCCAGTGTGAACTATTTTCAACAACTCTATATCAAAGAAGCATTAGGTCGCACAAAGCTGTGCTGAAATACTTTGAAGAAAGCTGAGAGCATGGTCAGAAGGTTTAAAACGATAAAATCCGTTGCCGTCCAGTGGATTCCTACT